ACACCTTGCCGGTCAGGGGCAGAGGGACGGCATTTAAAGCCAGACAACCGGAAGTGGGAGTGGACATCCAGGGAGTGAGAGGAAATAAAAGAAGGATGAGGACCAGCCTTGGCTGGGTGGCTCAGCGGGTTGCAGCACCGTCCTGAACACCAAAAGATCGTGGGTTCGATCCCCAATCGGGGCACGTACCTAGGGTGCAGGTTTGATCCCTGGTCAGGGCACGTAAGAGAGGCAGTCAGTCGATGTTTCTCCTGTCTCTCTTTCTCAAGTCAATATAACACAATCTCAGCTGAGGGTTTAAAAAAAAAAAAAAGAAGGAGGACTGAACACAGGGTCTTCCAACACCAAGAGGATGGAGAGTGGAGAAAGCCACCAGGGAGACTGAGACGACGGCCTATGGCGTGGCTCGCAGAGGCCAAGCGAAGACTGCATCCAAGCGGAGGACACCTGTGTCCGACGCGGCTGCTGCCGCACACGGCAAGACAGAGCCCCGCGCGCCGGGCGCAGCCGGGTCCCTGACGCCGCAGCCTCGGCCGCCTGGGCAGCGCGGCGGGGCTCCGGGCCGCACTGGGGACGGTGGCCGTGCGCCCTCTGACCGAGCGGCGGCGGGGAAGACTGTTTCAGGAGTGGGGCGCCCATCGGCAGGCTCGCTCCCCCTGCCGCCTCCGTTCAGCAGCTCTCCCAGCCGCCCCTGTGCTCCAGCCTGCGTGCCAGCCCCCGCGGGCCGGCCGCGGCCACCGCCCCCCGGGATGGCGGGAGCGTGCTCCTAACGGGGCTCTCTGCCTCCAGCAGTGGCCCCCGGACCGCTTCTCAACGTTGTGGCCAGGGTGCCGCCTCTCAGGGAAAATCTGGTCCTGTCACTCCTCTGCTCGTCACCCGTCAGGGTCTCCCTGTGCCCTCCCGATGCCGCGCCGCCCCTCTCACGGGGACACCGCTCTGTCCTCTGCAGCCCCGCTGTCACGGCCCATGTCAGACGGGCCCCCGCCAACGGTGTTTGGTCCCTCCCACCTCCCGCGTCTGGCAAAGGTTTTCCCCACCTGGAACACTCTGGCCCCCCACCCCCCAGCTCTCCAAACCTTTTGTCGTCCCCCCCCCACACTCAGGTCTTAGCTTGAATGTCACCACTTCGGGAAATCTTTCCCTGAGCAGCTCACGACCCCCTTGCACACCCAGGTCTGGGTCAGGTGCCATTCCTAGCACCTGTGGGTCCCCCACCCTAGGGCCGTGGCCCCCGGGGTCTTGTGCGTTAACATTTGGGACTGTGTCCTTGGCGCTGTAAAGGTCTTCGAAGGCAGGGCTTGCCATTGAACACACAGCTGACATCCCCGGCTTCTGGCCGGAGCCCAGGAAATACCTGTGGAGTGACGGGCATAGCGGGCAGGTGGTGAGCACAGAACCCAGGCAAAAGGGAGACAATTTAAATATCTGCAAGGCACCTTCTCAAACTGAATGCAAATACCAAAGTTATTTCCCCAGGAGGTACCTCCTGTCCAGGCAGAGGGACACGCCCCCTGGCTCCTGCCCCTGCCCTGCTGGGCGTGGCCAGCGCAGTCCGGCAGCCCCCGCCGCAGGGAGGGCGGACAGGGAGCTCGGAGGGTGTGTCCGCCTGGCCCCTGCCCGCTCCAGGCTGGCTGCTCGTCCCCCGCAAGGATCACAGCCCCGGCAGGAGAGCCCGCCCCATCGCCACCCTCGGTCCCAGGAATGGAAAGAGTGTTGCTGCCAGCTCCGCCTCAAGGACGGTCCCCCCGGTGGCTCCCCTGCAGTGGCACCGGGCTAAACAGCCCCCGTCCGCATCGGGCCTGCCGCCCGCTTCCCACCGGGCCCTGCCTGAGACATGTGCAACACTGAGTTTCTGTGAAGTGAAGATTGTTTCCCAGGAAACTAGGGATTAACAACATTGATTCAAGATGGAGTGAAAACAAAATACGCCCATAACCAGGGAAGAAATTGAAAATATCAAATTTTTGCCTGCAACTAAATGACAGGCTTAGGTGATATCCAGTGCAAGAGCAATCGTGCCTTCTTAATTCAATAACTATCCACTTTTTAAAAGTCTTTCAGAGTATTAAAAAGATAGGCATGTTCTCAGATAGTTTTATTACATTAACATACAGTGATATTAAAACCTGACAAAAAGACAAAAAACTGAAACTATCAACCAAATTTAGTTATTAACAGAGATATGAAAACCTTAATAAATGAAATCTACCATTTTATTTAGAAGAACAGCCAAATCTGTTTTATGAAGGCAAAAGTGGGTCAATATTGGAAAGTCTTTTTGCATCAACCTGATTTAAAAAAGGCAAAAAATAAAATTAAATCCTGAAATGTAGAGTAACCTAGGAATGGAAAGCTGTTTCCTTAACTTGGAACAGAGTATTCGTCTGAAACTAATATCCAATATTATATTTCTGATGAATCATTAGAGACAATCCTATGAAAATTAAGGACAAGATGATGATGCCTGCTATCAACACTGTTTAACATTGAACGTTGAAGCTCTAGCCAATGCACTAAGACAAGAAAAATAAATACGGAATACTAATACTGAGGAGGAGAAAATACCATTGTTTGCAAAAATGATTTTCTACCTGAAAAATAGCCTTCATAAATAAGGTGTACTTACAAATCAAATGAAAAAAATGTACACGCTATAGAAAACATGAGTAAAAGACATAATGTAGCAATTCAGAAAAGAACAAAGACAAATGGTCAACCAAAACAAGTATAAATATTCCATAGTGTACCTATCAAATGTAATTGTTTAATTAGTTCATTTTTATTTTAGATGAGGGGAAGGGAGGGAGAAAGAGGGAGAGACACATCGGTTGGCTGCCTTCCCCCGGCACCCTGACTGGGGACAGAACCCGCAACCCAGGCCTATGCCCTGACCAGGAATCAAACTGGCGACCTTTCAGTTTGTGGGACCAACGCCCAACCCATCAAGCCACACGGGCTGGGCCTCAAATTTAAATAATAAGATGATTTGGGCAGGGAGAAAGAGGCACACTCATACTCAATTCTTCAAGAAATATAGCAATTTAAACACTAACAAATTGACAGTATGCTCTAAAAGCGTTAAAATGCACCTAGCCTTTGCCCCTGTGTTTCTACTTCCAGGAATTCAGTGCTGGGGAGGGGGTGGGGGAGGCGTGGAGTTACTGCCTAGGAGTGGCTGGGGGCAGAAGGAGTTAGGGTTATGTTCAAGACTGTGATGTCAGCTCACAGTGGTTGACTCACTGGCTACAAGATGATGCATTTGTAAAATGAAATGTTATGTAGCCACTAAAATGATACCCACTTACCATTTTTGGTCACAGTCTGACTATACAAAACCCAAGGCTCAAAATAACTTGCAAAGTATTGGCCCATTTCTTGTTACATATGTTAATGTTTTGTCTAAATGCATGAAGCACTAGCACACCCAAAACATTAGTAGGGCTTATCTTGGGACACGGAAATATGAACTTCCCGTTTTGTTTCTCTGTATCTGAAAGGGGCTTTTGGCGTGGGCGTGGGGGGCCGGACGGGCTGCAGTGAGGAGTGCAGTAGATACCCTGTCTGTGTGACCCCATGCTCGGGGGGTCTGTGAGCTCCGTCTGTGCTGTCCACTGAGGTATTGGCTGCCTGGTCTTGGAAAAATTGCTTAAACTTGTTTTCTCAACCCCAAAATACAAACACCAATTTTATAACACTTGGTAAACCTCAGGCCTCAAAAACAGAGAGCTGTGGGGTTCCCCTGCCCCTCCCTAAGATCGAGTCTGAATCCGATGGAGCTTCCAAGTCCAGCTTCCCATGTACAGGAAGCAGGGGTGCAGCCGCCTGCCCCAGACCCACGGGGACCCCATGCGCAAAACCCCAGCGGCAAGGACTCTGCAGGACAGGAAACTAGTTTCTTCAACAAATAATTCACATGAAACAAAACAAATCTAAAACTGCATCATTTCACCTGAACCCACTTATGTTTATATTCCTATTCAAACAAACAATTTTTCATGTAATGGCATATAAGAGAAATGTGTGAATTTAAACACTGCCTAGCTGATACTAAGAAACATGTAGATTTCTCAGGTGCTACAGAGATACTGTGTTGATGTTTCTTCCCGTAGGGGTGTCTAACCCGTGGCCCGCGGGTCATGGCTGTGAATACGGCCCAATGCAATGTCGTAAATTTACTTAAAACCTTGCTTTTGTTCATCAGTTTTCGTTAGTGTTTGTGTACTTAACGTGTGGCCCAAGGCAACTCTTCTTCTTCCAGCGTGGCCCAGAGACGCCAAAAAGTTAGACACCCCTGTATCTAGAGGGTCCTTTAAGAGACACTAAAATATCGACAGGTGCATTGGCTCTGCTGTAACCTAACTCTAGGGAGAGGGGCCGAGCGCGCAGACAGGCAGGGCCCACCCTGAGCCCCTGGTGGGCGCGTGGGGGTTCATCATGCCATTGGGTGGTTTTGTGTCCCCTCAAATTTCTCCTCTGTAGCAAAACCTTTATTTTTTAAAAGCAAAGTGTCCCCATCTTTATGACGCTGATGGATTTTAAATTTGCAAATAACAAGGTAGGAGTCCTTTGACAGGGAGGACTGTGAAAATAAAAGGGAAAAGCCAAGTCCGGAGGAAACTCACCAGCAAAGCAATGTTTGTTCCCGGCGCCCTGACCTATGAGAAAACTGAGGTGAGGAGTAGGGAGCACGGTCCGGGCCGAACGCGCCCCCGCGGCACCTCGTCGCCGGCTCGCAGCTGCCCCCCCCCGGCCCCCCCCCCCCACCAGCGCGGCCTCCTGGCACCCGAGGGCAGAGCGCCCACCCGGGCGTGCGCAGTGGCTGGACGCACAGTAGGCCTGCTGTGTGCTACTGTGATCGCCACCGATCCCGGTGGGACTGAGGCCAGTGGGGTCACACCGACAGTGGCGGGGCGCCCACACCTCCACAGCCCCGCCCTTGCCACCCTTGGGGCCCAAGTCCAGTCAGCCTGACCTTGGTCTCCCCGCGTCCGTCCGACCAGGTGCTGAAGGCGTGCGCGCCCGCCCCAGCGGTCATCGAGGTTCTTTTCAACTCCTACCCGCAGCTCCGCGTGTCCGAGGCCTGGAGGGAGGTGATTCCCGAGGAGGCGTTTCAGGTGAGGCGCTGCCGGCTGCGTCTGCTCTCCCGCGGGGGCGGTCTGGGCTGCCTCCCCCGTGAACACGCAGCACCTGGAGGAGAGCGGAGGGGGCCTTGGGGCGCCCGTGAGTACTGCTGTTTTCCTTTTGGGGGGCTCAGCTGACACCCAGCCAGGTTGGGGCGCTGTCCGCTACCCGGAGCACAGGCAGGCCCACGCCGGCTAGAGGACTAGCAGGGCCCGAGGACTCAGCATGCGGACAAGGGTGGACGCGAGCCCCTGCGTCCACGGGTCCTGGCGCCCGCCTAGCGGCTTCGTCTCTGACCGAGGCAGCTGCAGGCACTACGGCCACGCGCAACTTGATTAAGAAAGAGAGAGCTTTTCTTCCCAGAAACCTCGTTGACTGAGCCCTGTGCTCATTGCTGGTCAGCACGTGCCGCCCAGTGCAAAGGGGCGGGGCAGAGCCGAATTCCCTAGACTGCCTGCGCCCTGGGAAAGCGCCAACCCTTCGCTGCGCCTGCGCAGGCGCTGCCTTCGAGGAAGGGGCGGACCCCCGGAGGAGGGGGCATCGTGCCTGGCAGTGCTGCTCCTCCGCGGGGAGCCGTGGAGAGCACCCCCGGGGCCTTCCAGCAGGAAGGCGTGCGGCTGTGGCGGCGGGGCCAAGGACTGACGCCCCTGCCTTCCCTTCCAGGCGCACCGGCTTTTCTACCAGTCCCTGCTCGCCTTGGCCCGCCGCCCGCGCAGCCTGCAGCACCTCTGCCGCTGCGCCATCCGCAGGCAGTTTGGCAAGAAGTGCTCTCGCCTGGTACCCGGGTTACCTTTGCCCGCGCCCCTGCGAAGCTACCTCCTTCTGGAGCCAGAGGGTGTTTTGCACTGAAAACCAGGGCCTCTGGACTTGGCCCCGTCCCTGCCCTTCCATGGAGAGGAGAGCGACCCGAGCGGGCAGGCGGACCTGGCGGCGCCTTCAGGTTCCCCCTGGTATGCACTCGAGCGCCCTGCTGTCTCTCAGCACTGTTACTGAGGGTGACAAGTGTGACCGTCATAGTGCTGTGTCGGAAAGTGCCCTTCCACAGAAGCGGAGCTAAAAGGCGTGCCTGCGTGTCCCAGGTTTGTTGCCTGCCCACCACGGCGCAGCACTAGGCTTGCTGCCCCCCGGCTTCAGGCCGCTGCCTCCAGGAAAATGCCCCGCCCCTCCTGGGAGCTGGGCGCCTGGAAAGACTGTCCCCGAAACGTGACAGACGTGTCTGTGGAAGGAGGACACTTGCTTCCATAATGAATCACCCTCCCAGGAGCCCACGGGTGCTTCCCAGCACAGGGCGGTCCAGGGCACCCCAGAAGGACATCGGCGGGCTGTGAGCCGGGCACGTTTACCCCCGGGAGTCCTCTGTGTGACATTCTCACCAATCCCCGGTTGGCCCAGCTCTAGCTGGTGATCCAGGAAGCCACAGGTTGACAGAGGCTGCCGCCAGCTCAGCCCAACATCAGTAACAAGAGAGATGTCCGAACGGGCCAGGACGGTATCAACGCAGTCTCTTATTTTCTGGGTTCTGGTGCTTCGATATCTGAGGCCTTGCTGCCTCTGGAGAGACTGCTCCCCCCCAGGGTCACCCGTTCCTAGACTTAGCAGGCAACCTGCCACCCAGCACGCTTTCTAAGGCACGCCAATGCACCCAGAGTTCGCTCCCCCCGCCGCTCACGCCCCGGCACCCCGACCACCCCGCAACCTGGCGCCAGACAACTGGGTCGGCCGCTCTGGCCCCGCGCCTGAAGTGACTCTGAGTAGCCCATCCCGCGCCAGCCTGTCCTGCCTCACGTGGTCCTTCCACGGAAAGCACGGTCAAGTCTCTGCCCGCACACCCCACCCCCCGCCAGCCCTGGTGCCTCCCTCTGTGGCCTCCTGGGGGGACGTGTCCCCTCTCTTGGGAGCCGTGAGTAATAAACTATCTTTCCAATGACAGCCATCCCTTCACCTGTTGACCTTACTTGACCTCAAGTTTTCTATTCAACACTTTTTTTTAAAAGATTTTATTTATTTACTTATTTTTAGAGAGAGGGGAAGGGAGGGAGAGAAACATCCTTGTGGTGTTGCATCTCGCGCACCCCCTGCTGGGGACCTGGCCTGCAACCCAGGCCTGTGCTCTGACTGGGAATCGAACCAGTGACCCTGTGCTTTGCAGGCCAGTGCCCAGTCCACTGAGCCACACCAGCCAGGGCTCAACACCATATAAACAAGGACTTCTTAAGGTCATCCCCTGCGGACAGTGATGGCACCATTTTTGTCCAGTTTGAACCAGGACAAGGTGTTTCCAGGACAACCTCAGAGGGGGCAGCATGCCCTCCCCTCGTCGCAGGCTGGGAGGGGGCTTCACGCACCGCCGCAAACACTGCCGCGTGAGGTGGGGCGTTGTGCCCGCCGTGAGTGAAGCCCAGTGTGGGTCAAGGCCCCCCCCACGTGGTCACGGGGGTGGCCTGGCTGAGCCTTGGCAGACGGTCAGACTTCAATGCAGAGGGTCTGCAAGGGAATGCGTGACAGGGCAGCGACCCGCAGAACCTTCAGCTCACCACCCACATCTGCCCGCCGAGAGGGACGATTCACCTGACCTAGAAAAGGCCACGCAACGTGGCTGTCCCCAGCCCCTCCTCAACAAAGGCCGGGATGCAGGACGGTGCAGGGCAGGAGGAGGAGCAGTGACCTGTCCTCTGGAGGGAGGGTCCCCGTGCTTTGGCCACGAGAAGGAGGTACGGCTGGGGTGGGGGCGCAGATAGGGGGAGCTTTGGTTTGCAGACCAAGGGTCCTGCACGTCTCGGACAGGCTGCGAGGACCACACGGCAGGTGAGCGGGTGAGGCCGCAGTGGGATCCCGGGAAGAGGACTCTGATCTGGAAAGGGGTGTGGCGCCTGGGGGGTGGGTAGGAGCCCAGGATGGTCCCTAGAGATGGGGCCCCAGGTCCAGGCTGCTCTGCTGAGCGGGAAGCGCAGTCCCTGAGCCACAGTTGGCCTCACCAGGGGCGGAGCTTGCATGGAGCCCCTCCTCCTGGTCAGCCCCGCCCAGCCCGCCTAGAGCAGGAGCTCGGTGAGTAGTTCCTTCTATGACTCTGATTGTTCTATTATTGTTAGAAGAAAATAGTCTAATATTCAGATAAAGGCTGCAAAGCAGGGAGAAGCAAAGCAGGGTTATGTATGAGAACAAATAAAACGGCGAGGACAGTAGGACAGGCAGCCACAGCCCTGAGCTTCCCTGTCTTCACTGGGCATGGCCATCAGAATCGGGGTGAGCACGCTGGCCTGGCCTGACACCCCCCCCTGCTCTGCCCCCAACCTTCAGCCCCCCCTCCCCGTTCCTCCCACCCACCTTAGGAAGCAGTTTGGCTGTTTTTCAGAAGTGCATTAAATTTTAAATGGGTTGCAGAGTCCTAGAACAAAGTGGAACTCTTTGAAAACATGTTAATTTCATATTTCTAAAAATCTGATGAATAATGACCCGTTATTAGTTTTTCAGAATTTAATTACTGCTAGCAATTTGCTTTATTAATCAAAAAATAAAATAAGTGTCACAACTGTGTTGTTTGATGACTGTGTCTGACTGTGCTCCGTGCCACACGTACTAGGAAGTTCTGGGTTGAGGGGGCTGCCTCATTCCACACAGACAAGGAAAGGAGGGACCAGGGGCAGGGAAGGGCGGGGTAGGCCAGGGGGCGGGGTGAGGCCAGGGGGCGGGGGAGGGGGAAGGAGAGGAAGGGAAAGCGGGAGGGAGGAGAGAAGTAAGGTGGCCAAGATCAGCCTCCCAAACACACTCTCCAGGGAACAGGGTGTCCCTTGGTATTTCTGTTATATGGGGGCCACCGTTACTTTTCTCTTTGAGCAAATTGCCTAAACTCAATCCCATAAGACCTAAGTGGCTCTCTTTAAATTTACATGTAGCTTTTAAAGATGCTTTCACATGGCCCAAAATTCAGAAGGTAACAAAAGGGTAAATGTTGTTTCTACTTAAAAAAGAGAGCAGAGGACCACTGCTCCCGCCCACTTTTGTTGAATATCTTCGACCGTATTCCTCGCCCTCTGACCACAGAGAATCCCCAAGCATGCAAGCGAGGCTCTCCACCAACCATGTGGTCCGGCCCCTCTCCATCCTGCCTGTACCCTGGACAGGGTGACGGGTCCCCAGCACGGCCGGACGGCCAACTGGCTGTCAGCACTGGGACGTGGCACGTGACACCCTGTGGCATACGGCATTTAAAATTCTGAACACAGCCTTGGGCTTCTCTTTTTAGTGGATTTGTATCCATTTAATTTTAAGTTACGTGATAATCATCAGTTCAGCGTGTTTTGAAGAAAACCAAAACCAGTGGCTCTTTCAGAAGCATTTGCTAACCCCAGCAACTATAGAATCATCATACTTCCCGTCTCTGAAATCACCTTTAAAAATTTTTTATTTATTTATTTTCAGAAAGGGGGAAGGAGGGAGAGAGGGAGAGAAACATCAATGTGCGGTTGTCTCTCACGCGCCCCCTGCTGGCGACCTGGCCCACAACCCAGACCTGTGCCCTGACTGGGAATTGAACCGGCGCCCCTTTGGTTCTCAGGCTGGTGCCCAACCCACTGAGCCGCACCAGCCAGGGCTGAAATCACCTTTTGATGACACATGTGGAAGGGGAAGGCTGTTGAACTCTGGCAAAGAATACTTAACCCTCTACCAAAATGGTATAAAATACAGGCCTGGAGAACGTGCCCGGGCACTCCGTGACCCGCCCTGCCGCGCGCCGGAGAGGAAGCTTAATCACTACAATCGCCAACGCCGTTAGCTGGCCGAGTGCTTCTCATCTCTTAAGGGCTGCCCAAGGACTACGTGATAAAACAGGAACATGGCATCTCTTACTCCGTTATTTGAAGAATAAATTATTCCTCGGACAAACGTTCTCTGTGCACTCGGGCTATTCGGAAGCCCCAAAGTCTCAACTATGGCCAATACCGCATCTTATTTTTGGATTTAAATATACTTTCCAAAATCCAGGATTTTTCTGGAAATCGCCAACGTCTTTCTCTTTTAAAACAAATATTAATTTCATTGCATGGCTAAAATAAGCCTGAGGTTAAATTTCTAGAGCCTCAGGGAGGATTGGCACATTGAAACTCATTCTCACAGGGCCCTGCAGGTGGCGCCATAAGCAAACGGTCTTATCCTTGTCCACCAACCTGCTCACCCCTGAACGAAGGAAAACAAGATTTGAGCTCACACGGTAAGGGGGGAGTAGAGTATAAAGAAACTATAGAATCGTGACGTATCGTATAGAATTGTGATGCTATCATAAAAATTGAGTAATTAAAATATTGATTACGGAAGTGCCTACTTCCTTTGTATTAAATACGCACATTTTATAGGCCATGTGTTTATATATAAATGTTATTTTAAGTTGACTCTTTTATGATGCCGTCGTGACAGCCCAACCCTCATTTGCGTGTTAAACGTGTTCTTTAACAAAATTATACATGTTCACCACTGCAGTGTAACCGGCCGGCTTTCCCGCCTCCATCTAATCTTCCGGAATGGTGCTTCTGCAGCCCTCGCACTCGGCTTAATCACTCCAATAAAAAGAGTAGATTTCTTTGTAATGCAATTTGTAAGCAATAAACATGATGGAGAATGCAGTGTTCACTGTCGACTATGTTTAAGGCAGGGTTTTAATTCGGTGTGTAATTATTCAGTCGGTGGGCACTTTTCCGATCGCATTTCTTCTTCCCTGCCCTTAAGTCAGTAAGTTTGGAGAACCTTGGGAAAACGGGGTTTCCGCCTACTTTCTGCAAGCCAGAGTTTGATGCAGATGTTATGGAAAGAGAACATTTTTTTTAATCTGCCAAAGACAGGAGGTCACATTAGCT